CAGGGACCTCAGCAGCAACCCAATGACACACATCACACACGGCACCAGCATGAACCGCGTCATCGAGGAGGATGGCACCAGCGCCTGAGCCGGGACGAGCGCTCCGACAGCTCGGGGTGGTTTGCACAGCTCGTGGCCCCTCCCTCAGTATTATCACCCTCTCGTCAGGTGCTGAATTTGGGCTGAATCGGGAAGCCGAAAGTCGCAGCCTCGTGGAGCTCCAGCGCTCGGCTGTCCCGAATTCCTGATTAAAAAAAAAAAAGCCGGTTGTCTCCTTTGAACCTCTCTGTAGGTGGTTATTTATTCCGTGGCTGGTCCTCATCAGACACCGCTGCTGAAATTCTTTGTGGAAAACAAGTCTCCCCTTTTCCTCCCTCTCTCCCTCCGCATGTCGGGAGGTTCCACCCCGAAAACTCGTCGCCGGGGTTGCGCTGAGGGCTCTTCTGGGGAGACTTGGGAACTCCTGGCTGCTGAGGGAACTCCTCAGCACACCTCCTTGGCACCATTCCTGCTTGTCTCCATCGTGTGCATCAGGAGGAGAAACCTGTGGGAGCCGGGATGGTGACACTGGAAACGCAACTGAGGATCCCCAGCTCTTCCCAGATGGGGTGGGAGGGCGGGGGGAGGAGACACAGGCAGGGAAGAGCGATTTTTTTTTTTTTTTTTAATGACTGGTATCGTCCTTGCTTTTTTTACGAAAAGACTCTTTAAATTTTCTACTCGTTTACAGCTTCTGTAGGAAGAGAAACGGCTTTTCGAACCGGTTATCGAGATGATCTTCAGCCACTTATTTTTTAGAGTCCTGTACAGAAGCTGAGATTGCCTGTTCCTGATCTATTTAAAAAAAAAAAAAAATTATAATAGAAAAGCTGAATTTTTTTACCCAGCCAGGAATGTAGAGCCCGTTCCCTACAACCAGAGCAAGGCCCTGTTTTGTTTACAAGCCCCAGCTCCTGGGTGAGGAAAGGCTGGTGAGGCCAAGAGGACCGGAGGGAGGAGTTTATTCAGGGATGATCCTCCTGCCCTGCGATATCACGGCTGGTTTTGTTGGGGGGGGGAGGGGATTCTCTGTGCTGAGCAAGAATTTAGAGAATGAGTGGGAGAAATCCAGGCAGGAGCTGCCCACAGACAGGAGAAAGAGCAGGATGTGGCAGCCGGAATTGCTGTCTTGAGGAGGAGGAGGAGGAGGAGACAAGATCCACTGTAAATTTTTGGCTCCTTCCCAGCCGGGGATTTTGCATTATGGATCAACCTCTGCTGTAGGTTGGTTTTCTTTTCATTCAGATTCACAGTGGAGAATTCTCGCTTTGGGCTTTTTTTTTTAAAGTGGAAACACTCTGTTGGGAGGCACTGGAGGCAGGAGTCGTGGATGGTGCCATGGATCTTCTGGAGCATCTGCTGTTGGGATTCATTCAGCTGTGAGGAGACACTGATCCCATGTAAACCTACCTCAGTAATCACTACAGACCATTGCTGGGAGATGAATCCTTATTTTTTCATTGTCTTTAAGTAATTCCCTTTGGAGAGAGTTTGTGTGGCACAACCTCGAGGGCAGGGACGGGGCAGCAGCTCCCGCGGCTGCTCCACGATTCCTCCTGTTAATTGTGGCTGATGACACAACAGCAAAGCTGGGGGATCAAGGGCTGCCTCGGGAGTCTTAGAGATACATTTATCCTAAACTGAGATAACATTTATCCTAAACTGAGATTAACATTTATCCTAAATTGTCCTTCTTGCTTCCACCGGGCTTCTTGCTCCAAAGGAGAGGGATCCCGGCGTGGAATAACAGTCCAGAGAGGGAGTTCTGCACCCACCCCCTCTCCCCGGGGCAGAGCAGACTCTGCTGTGCCTGTTTGCTCAGCAAACAGCCCCAGGGATAAGGGGTTGTCCGCAGGGATAACTGCCCACATCCTGGCATCGCCTCTCCCAGAGCAGAAGGGTGCAGAAAATCCCGAAACCAGCAAAACTGCAACCCCCTGGAAACCCCAGAGGTGGAACCTTTGTTATTTTCAGGTTCAGCTCCTACTAAATAACCAGCTGCTTCAAAGGGATGATCCATTTAGGAATCTGGATCTGCAGGAGGAACCGGGAAGCTGAGTTTTCCTAAGCGCTGGACCCGGACTAAATAAGCTCAAGTGTTTACATTGATCTTCTTGGCTCAATTTCCAGTACCTTTTATATATATATATATATATCTATGAATTTTAGCAATGCTTTGACTTGTTTAGAGTCAGGGAGGGCAACAGTGATGGAGGTTGGAAACAGATCCTGCTGGAAATGTTAATTTGGGAGGTTCAGTCCCCCTTGTTGCCTCCAGATGGGAATATCTCAGCCGTTCTTTGCTCATGGATCCTGTAAAGGGCAGACTCCTGTCACCCCAGAGAGGTGATTAAACCTAAAATCAGAGTTCTGGTCGGGTTTTTGCCTCTCTGCTCCCTCCCTTTTATCTTCAACACCTGAGCTCTGGGCAGAGCATTCCTCCTGGGATTTTGAAGCCCATTCCCAATGTCAGATTGTCCCAGACCTGATGCAGTTCCACAGCCAGGGCACTTCAGCTCCCAAATCATCCTGCCCAGGGGCTCTAAATCATGTCCCAGTTGCAATGTGGCCCAGCCAGCACCTCTGGCAGGGGCACCAGGTGCGTTTTTGGGATGCTTTCCTAATTTTGGCACATCCTGCTCACCGGGGAGAGCTCCAGCCTGGGCACCAGATTTCTGGGATTGGTGCCAAGCTTTAAATTCCCCTGGAGCTTAAAATCCCTGCTTTAACAACCTGCCCAGGAGGACAGTTGTGCAGTCCCTGGAACACTCCAGGTGCTTTGGCTGCCTGGATGTTCCTGCAGCTGCACACATGTTCCCCGTGGTGTTCCAGCACTGCTTTATCCCTTCCCAGCAGGAATAGGACACCAAAACCTGGACCCTTTCTCCTGGGAAACAGGCAAAAAAGCTGCCCAGCTTCTCCAGCTCACCCCCACAGCAGGTTAATGTATCCCCCTCCTCCACACACGAGATGACCTGAGCCCCAAAGCTCCGCTCTGCGCGATCGCGACGGCGAAGCTTCCCGGAAAACGCACGGCTTCTCGTTCCCTGTATTCCCAAGGAGCTACATCTCCTGGTTTGTGAACCCAGTTGCCGCTGACAACACCTTCCCCAGAGCCTGTGATGTTCCTTCTCTCCTAACCCCTTCCTAGCTCTTGCTGTTCGCTGGAATATCCCAAATCGGAGCTGCGGTCGCGTTGCATGGAAAAGGAGCAGCCGCCCTTCCCTCGAGTCTGGGCCACTCGTCGTCTTTAGAGCACAAGCAAATCCAACAGCAGCAAAAAAGCCATGTTCAGGTGTAAATGTGTTTGCCTGCTCTCGATGCTTTCCCTTTCCCTGGACCCAGATTTTGCTCTGGGAGCGTTGGATACCGGCCGTCCCGGGGGCTGGGTGTGAGCACGGGGCCCAAATCCAGCTGCAGCCAAATCCAGCACCGCTCCCAAGCTGTTCCAGCAGGGAGGGGAGGGAAAACCCCTCATAAAGGGCTTCGGGAGAGAGCTGGGTTAATGCCCAGCCTTCCAAGGGAGCTGACTCCACAGCCCAATTCCAGGGGGATGAGGATCCCAAAACAGCAGCGGGGAGCGGGCAGCCCCCCCCATCACCCCGTGCCATGAAACCAGGGCACAGAGCAGAGTCACCCTGCATGGCAGACATCCCAAGGTCCACCTCGAACAGCAGAATGTCCAGTTGAATGTGAAATTTCCCTCCTCTCCCCCCACGTTGCTCCTTTCCTACCCGGACCGGTGTTTATTCCCACCCGAGGCGCGGGCGTTTCCCGCGGTCCCTGCCTGCCAGGAGCAGCCCTGGGGTCGTTGCGTGGGGGCAACTCGGTGCATGTGATGCTTTCCCCGGACGCTCTTTGTGTCTGTCCCTGCTGTACCATCATCCACCTGGATGGGAGGGGAAGGAGCTCCCGTGTCCGTGAGTCCCTCTCACGGGGGGGCGGCTCTCGGTAGGCGCGTTTACAGTAGTCCAGTGTGGGTTTTTGTAAAGTTTAATTTTTTTTATTTTTTTTTTTTTTAGCACTTTAACTGTGAGTGTACAAACTGTAGTAGGTGTACATTTTCATTTTAGACCTTTGGAAGTTTTTAATAAAACGTTTGAAACGCCCTGGTCTCTCTCTCTCTCTCTCCGTCGACGGGTTTTTCCCCACCCCTTTCCGCGACCTCCCCCCCTCCCCCCTTTTAAAATCCTGGTTGAGATTAAATAATTAAGGATCAGATTTGACTCTGGCCAGCAGTTGCCCTGAATCTGAAGAAAGGCTTTCTAGGCTTAATCTTCCCCCAAACACAAGATTTTGGGCTCTGGTTTGTTCCACTCT